GAGGAGAGAGAGACAAACTGGGCCCAAGCGGAAAGAGAGCCCAGAAGCAGCCACATACTTTCTGACTTGGGAGACAAGGCAGCTGGAAAAGAATGGACTTTAAAAAGTGCCGAGAGCTCAGTTTATCATATAGAGAAAAGGTACTTCATGGAACCCTCCACTCAAGCCCTCAAGTTCTCTGGGAAAAAAAAAAAGTGCATAAATGATGTCAAGTTAAAGATTCCTCAACCCTTGCCTATCTCACAAACCACAAAGGCAAGAACTAGTAAATCTGACGATAACAACATCATAATAATAATTTCTCTATGCCAAAGGCACCAGTAAATAAGCAAATATATCCACAGCAGATAACAAAAGGACTAATGTCCGGAATATATAAAGAACTGCTACAAATTAATAGGAAAAGTCAAATGAAGCATTTTTTTAATGGGCAAAGGGCAAATGACAGAAAAAGGAACCCTAAAGAGTCAATAAAGGCATAAAAAATTGCTCAGTTTAGTGGTGACTCAGGAAAACACAGATTAAAACCAAAGAGATCACACTGCGCCCAACAGATTGACAAACAGGTTAAAGTCTGAGAACGCACTTGGACATGGACATCTGGAAAACCAGAACTTCCACGGTAACTGGCAGGATTATAAATAGGCAAAACAGCTGGGCTTGGTGGCACACGCCTTTAATCCCAGCACTTGGGAGACAGAGGCAGGTGGATCTTTGTGAATGAGGCCAGCCTGATCTACATAGCCAGTTCCAAGTTAGCCAGTGCTACACAGTGAAACCCTGTCTCAAAATAAATAAATAACAAATAAAACTGTAAAATACTTTAACAGCTTTCTGACAAGCCCTAGCAGAATTAATATGCTGAACTGCATGACTAGTACCACTTCTAGTGTAAGTCTTGAGAGGCTCTGGTTTATATTGCGGAGACTATCATATGTAACAGATGTTCATCAAAGCCTTTGTGCACAGACCTCTAATCCACCAGCCACAAATCAAAAAGTGGTGAAAACTGAAGTTTTTTAAGTTTGTAGCAAACTAATTATATAGTGAAAGCCGATCAGACTTGAATCTGTTGTGATCTTTGCTTGTTCCACAGTGTGGCATTTTATTGTCCCGTTCACGTATCCTGTGCTCCTCTTGGAGATATTATATGTAACACATATCTTTCTGAAAAGCTAAACGAAACCTGAATTCCAAAGTAATTTGTGTTTAAGGGTTTCAAATAAAGGACGGTGGGCCTGTAGAGAGACAGATAAATAACAATTGAAGTGTTCATCAAAAAAGGAAGTTAGTATTTCAGCACTTTAAATGAAAGCTAGGGCCGGAGAAATGGCTTGGCAGGTAAAGCCACTTGCCACCGAGCCTGACAACCTGAATTAGCTGAGGCCCATGTGGTGGAAGGACAGAACTGACTCCTGAAAGTAGTCCTCTGATCTCCACA